ACTTGTATAGTGAAGAGTGAAACTGATGGGCGCGACTAGTGAACTGGACGTGCTAGTCTGAGACATTTAGAGTGATAGCAATAGACATATTGAATATGTTAAAAATAATCAGAATTAATTAAGTGACTATCCAATATAAACATATTGATAAGGACTTTAATTGTAGTTGAGTTAGACATTAAATACTACGATTGCCGAGAGTAACAAAAGCAATAGTGGAGATAGATAGTTTAACGCAGGAAATAATAGATGTGTGAATAAATGAAAAATCACGTTTAGTTCTTTTATTTTTGTTAAGACCTCCACCCCTCACGTACTCTGATAATCCATTTCGGCATCTTGTATGAAAAACGGTGTCAGAAAAAAGTACGGTAGAAATACACCACTGTGGTAAAATATTTGTTCTCTTAGTTGATTGCCAGTAGTAGGAAAAGGGGGATTGAAAGTCAAGGGTAGAGGGGAAAGGAGCACAGGAGTTGTCCATCGCCATGTTGGAATTCCCCTTTTCCCCTTCAAAATTTCCCTTTATTCCTTAAAAAATTTCCATTTTTCCCCAGATCAGGAGAACAGTATTTGTGACCCTGGGTCAAACAGGTCACAGGTGGCCAAGACTAGTGACCCAGGGGACCTTTAGTCAGGGCAAGTGGGACTCAGGAATTCTGACCTAGACATTGACCTTGAACATTTGACCCAAAAAAAATTCCCAACAAATTTAAAAAAATCTTAAATAATTCCAAAAATTTGTTATTAAAAATTATTTAAAAGATTGTTAAAAGATTTACAATTAAAATTAATTTTTTTTCTGAGAATCCCCTCACTTCCCTATCATCCCAAATTAGTCGGCAAGCCTCGGCCCCCTCGCCCATACCCAGTCAGTCATCTTAGTGCTGTCAGTCATCGTATAATGCTACATTGGATGCAGGTGACCTTGACCTTTGATCCATGACATTTAATGACCTTAAAAACAAAACTGGAGAAAAGTCAATGAGTCAGCAAGCATATGATGTTACAGACAACTACCGCCATATTGGAAACCAGAGGTCATTGCCTTGGATGATCTTGAAAACAATAATTTGAGAAAGAAATATAAAAGTTGCCAAGCATGTGCTGTTGCAAACTACTACTACTATTACCATATCGGAAGCCAGTGACCTTGACCCTGTGACCTTGATTTACCTTGAAAACAAATGCTCGAGAAAAAGTCACAAGAACCTGCTTGCAGTAAACCCTGTACCGAGGTACTGAATGAGAAATGCATTTTCCCTTTACAGGTCTTAGCAAGTCTAAGTAAACTGTCACTATGGCTGAACTGCTTACCGCATCTGACACACAAATATGACATACGACAAGGATTCGTGGCACAATCGCGCCACCTTACGTTATGGTCGAAAGTAAACGCGTTATCACAAAAGTGGCAGTGATGATGACGTAGTGGTTCAGGCAAAGACTCGGGCTGGCCTGTAGGAGATGTAGGTGCTGGACCTAAAGAAGCAGATAAAGTCGGAAATGTAGTTCTAGGTACCACTCCCGAAGAAGTTGATGGCACTGCCGTAGCTACCATTAGCTTTGGAATGCCCGAAGACATTGTGGACGCAGAATAAGACTTACATGCGAAGATGCAGGAGCTATTGTCATAGGCCTGGTCACTATATTTGTCCATCGGTTAAGTCAAACTGAAGAATTATTAGAAAAACAAACATTTTAAAAATTTGCTAATTATTTTACTTAAGATGCATTTAAGAAAAAGAAAGCGAAATAAATATCCCTGTTATTCGCAAAGATTGGTGGGAGGCGAGCAGTCTAACCGCTCAAACACCGCGGTCGCCTGGTGACGAGAAGTAAGAGCAAACAGACATGGTAACATCCACTCGAGTGCACGAGGCCGGAATTAGTCATGGTGTATGGTCCAGGAATCGACCCAAGACACTCTCAAGTCATGATATAGACTCTGGACGGTGATGTAAGCACTTCTGAACTCAACCTTTGAAAAATGTCACTACACCAACCTGCATATATCTCGACCAGCACACCGACTGACCTGCGTATTGTAACGTTGGTAGCGACGGAGAGAAAGTAGATCTATGCCTGGAAGTTGAATCAAAAGTGTCACATAAACATTTGCGAATGCACAAATTATTTCTCTTCCTTTTACGTATAGTTGTAAAAATCAGCAAATTTGCGAAATATTTAATTCTCTAATAATTTCGCAATTTCACTTGGATGATGCATGAATAAAGTGGTCAGGCCCATGGTAATGTTATTATTACGTACGGCGGAATAATATGCGATCTGCATACAAGTAAATCTGAAGCAGGACTTTCAAATGTGCTCAGTTTACCGTGAGTAACATATAGAGACGTGTGTGGTTGTGTTTCGTTTAATCAAGTTAAACGTAGATGGAATATTATTGCACTGTTTCTAGTAGATTGGAGGAAAATAGTGGGAAGTTGGTAAAATGGTCGAGCGAAGGGATGCACTGTAATATTATTTGATATTTGTGCAAATAATTCTGTGTAAACTAGTCGCCAAGTATATTTTTGTAACGCCGCAAATAAATTAGAGTAGATTTCACAAACTCTTAGTGTGGAATGTGTAAAACTAATGTTGTATTTTAACAAGCAAATGTTTTAGACTCCAAGTTTATTATAAAATATTAAGCTGTCATAAACAATGCTGTATGTTCTCGGAAATAATGTGTTGTAAATACACAAAACTTTAAATTCGTATTTAACAAACAAATCTTTGACAACTAGTTTTCAAATAATTTGTTCTAACTAGCACAAAACATTTTTACTGTGTGGCCGTCAAAGTTGAGTTGCCTATTGTCGTTACTCTAATTTGAAGATAACACATAGCTACGTGATAACACATAGCTACGTGATAACACATAGCTACGTGATAACACATAGCTATGTGATTACGTACACGTGCGCAGGTATACTGAATACACAGACGTCATTATTTTAGAGACACAAGCAGATGAACAGTAATATCTTTTTATTTGTTTTGAATGTTTTGTGTTTTCGTTGTAATTAATTTTGTTTTGCAATGATATCGTTTTTCTGTAATAATCTGTGCGATTTAAATGCGAACTGTGTTTTACTTACGACTGTTGAGTTATAAGTTTATTTAGTTATCTAGTTTAAGTATATGGTTTTGTTTTATTGAATTCGGTTCAGCGGTATGAATTTTGTACGTTTCACATAGGTGCATAGTTCGTAAGGTATAGTAATAAAAGGAAACATAAAAATATATAATTTATTTGTGGCTGTACCTTTTTACTCTATACAAGAATATTTTTATTATGAAAATATGTCTATTGATTAATTATTTTGCTGCTTTTATGTTTGTCTGGACATTATTTTATAATGTATGTACTGTTATTGTAAACATTTGCATTTTTTATTTATTTGTATATTTTAAGCAGATTATATAATTTTGACGTAGTCTATTGCATGTATATTGATTAATGAAAATAAAATCTATAACTAGACGAAATGCCATTTTTGTGAGAAACCTCAAAAACTTCCATTTCGAGCATCGTCGTTTGACAAAACGCAGTTAAGATGAGCGAAGTAAGACAAAACGCAGTTAAGATGAGCGAAGTAAGACAAAACGCAGTTAAGATGAGCGAAGTAAGACAAAACGAATATCTTGCGACTAATAACTTAGGGAAAAGTCGAAGTTTTTACCTGGAAAAAAAGTTTACTGTATAATTTCTGCTAGAGAAACGTTTTTGTGTTAAGAAAAGAAGTGTAGTCTTTGTATCGATGATAGTGTATTCGATTATATCTCCACGTAGGCCTACGTCAACTATAAAGTGTTAAATTATGTCTCCGACAAATGTCTTTAATAGGATTTGAGTAATCATCGAGTAAATTCGGCTCTTTCTCATATCTCTAGCCACTAGGCTATCCTTATCTACACTGTTTTGAGACAAGAATTTGATATGCGAATAGGAACTGCATCATCTTGAACAACTTGGGGGGGGGGGGGGACATAGCCCAGGGTGTACAAAGTTGAGAATCGGAAAAATCCGACACAAATACTTGGGTTTTAAACTAGAAAATGAAGACGGCATAGTAAATGGCAAGACCATTTCATGATACAACATATTTCATCATTAAACTTCAAGACGGAAGTCAGGTCACTCGTGAAGTATTTACACCAGGGGAAAAAAACATACAGGTAGAGACCAGGAAATGTAGCGAGTTGATTTGAGGATAAGTTAAAATTTATTCACATGTACCATGGAGTTTTCGCTTCTATTGGACCACAGTTTGTTAGACACGTCCCGAACGACTTTTGACCTATAACGAACCTGTAAGGGAAACAAGAGCTGAATACCACCCCACCCGGTCAGTGGTTAAACTGGAGCGACAGCCAATGAACAACTAGCTGAGACTGGAGTACACAAGGGATTGTGGAGTCTAGCTTGTTGCCGAATGAATCCGTGAAATTTCCGCTCTCTAGATATAGCCTGTTCACGGTAAAGTGAGCACTTTTGAGGTTTTAATTACTTTCTATTTTCAGCAATGTTTTATCTTTCAATTTCCATTTTTAATAAATATTGCCATGTAAGTAACAGACACAGTGTGTATATTCCACCGCACTTGGAAGTTAACGCATAACGCCAAAATATAAACTACTATAAATATCGACTACTATTCTAAATGACAGGTCTTTCAAAAGTGCTCATTTGACCGTGAATAGCCTATAATAGTTTTGTAAAATGTTTGTGTGTAGTTAATGTAAACGTATCGTAACATCTTCAACTATAAAATAGACTTATAAAATGCGCGGCACGCTAATTATACGAGTATTACTTCCATGGTAGTAAAGTTTTTATGTGGTAGTACATTTAGACACAATAAATCGCCATAAACGTCAAAACTAAACGCTTTGTTTGGGAAGTAAAAATTAATTTATAAAGTTGAGTCAAGTGATTAGTTTTATTGAAGCTAGGCGCTTATTGCAATGAGAGTAAAAAATTACAAACCTGTTTCCGTTCGCGATCGAACCAAGTACCTCGCCTGTGTAAGGCGCACGCGATAATCACTACACCACAGGAGCATACGAACTCCACGGCACAACGCGATGGTGAAATACTTTCACAGGTTCTTGAATAGTTTACAACGAACTAACCATATGTTCTTTGAAGTCGGAACCTATGTCTAAAATAGTACCCTGCTACAGTTAAAGCAAAAGCGAATATAGTGTTGAGGGGAAAATATTAATAAAACAGACAGTTCCCACTGAATCAAAGAGCTACAAGTTTACATAACATAAGACTGCGTGCTGCGGCACAAGATACTAAACACACATAACTTGTTATTAAGAGACTATGTTCAATTAAATCTTATTATTTTTTTGTTTTAACGATAGCTTATCAACTTCCAGCACATTACACACAAGTAGCGTCTACTATTTATTCGCATAAAAAAATCTATACCCTATATTTTTCCGTACTGGCATGTCAGAATCACAATTTTAGTGTTTCGAGGACGTAAAATAATAAACGCTAATCCACCGAAATGCGATATTTCACTTTTAAATAAGACCCAATTACTTACTAAAAGAAACATTTAAATTCACGCTATGAAATGTTTTCTCGATTTCTTTAAAATTGCTTAAAATAGAGACATTTTTGTATATATTTGATATGCAGCAGTCTATGAGATTTTGTCTTTAAATAAATTTTTCTAAGCTTACCTTAAAATGAATTAAGACGTTATCTTTTATTCACTGCAGTTAAATTTCTGTAAATGTTTTCCTCTGTTTCATTTTTACGTTCCAATAAACAACAAAATGGTTATTTTGGCGCGCCATGACGTAACAACTGTGCGATCTAAGAGTTCACTACAAACCTCACTGTATGGTACTTGTTTTTATCTGGAGTGAAACTTGTATGTCACGATGGAAGAATCCTTGCAAGATTCCATGTAAGTTTGCACAGCAGCTGGTGAGGACGGTTCTATAGAAGAGTTGGCCGGCCATCTGAGGGCCGTTTTCATGGATGTCTTTGTAATTGGTCGTGTACAATTTTCTATAGTAGGTTTCCTGCAAGGTTGGAATTTAACCCAATCAAAGAGAGGGTGATAAGGAAAAGAAATTGTACACTGATTATAAAACAGCTTTGTACGAAAATTATGGTAAAAATTAGTGTTTATTTAAAGCAAAGTTCTAGTTGAAAGAACAAAACGATTAGGCTGTGCGCATAGACACATAATGATGAAGTCGTGAGTGGATATTGTTCCTGAGCCACAGTTGCAATAGTAAAATAGTAAAAATGCACTCGTCTTGACTTGTGCTCTAACAAGTATCTATATTCCTAAGAACCCTCCATGTGTTCTCGCGTGCTGGCTCGGCTAGTCAGCAGGTCTCGTCGAGGCTTCCGCCGGAGCTTGCAAGGATAATCTTATCATGACATACAGAATTTAATGATCTATACGTTCTTACCATATTCAAGCTGTGCAGTTAACTGATTATTGTTACTAGCAGTTGATTTGTTATTTTCCTGCGAGCAAACTACATAATAGCTAAAGTTCAAATCCGTAAAATCATGTCATGCTGTCATTTACTATGAAGTCATTCATTTGTGTGAATGATGTTCGAGTAACTAGTCATGCCAACATTGGGAACACCGTTCAAGAAGGAAAATATTCCTAAATAACTTTATACTTAGTCAAAAATAAATGAAATATCAACAACATTTTTATCTATTATTTCTTAGAAGTTTCGTCCACTGCTACTTGAGATAGAACATTAACCATTAAAGTTAAGTTTTTTGTTCTTTGAAGTCAAAATAAGTCCATATTTTCCCCTTCTTGCTTATCCCAACTGGCCTTTGGCTCGTATTTGAAAACTGATCAATCTCTCTCAATTTACAAGATGCATTTATGTAATGTAAACTACAAAATAATAAAATACTGTGCAGGTAGTAGTAGATGCTGTACCCATTACCCAAGGAAAATAAAAGTAAACATTCTATCTACATACAGAATTTTAGAGCAAAAATAATTGTTTATAATGAACATTGCTATTTTATGAAAGCCTCCTACTTCGTATATGAACTCCCTACAGATGTTCACTTTTCCCCTTAATCTCAAAACACATTCACATACAGTAACTATATTGCTAAGTAAAGCAAAGATTTTAAGTTGTATATGCCAATTTGAGGTACCCTGTGAAATTAAGAGGGTTCAATTGGTACACTTTCACAAACATATATATATATATATATCGAGAGCAGAAACCTGAAAAACAAGCGGGTTCACTTTGCTATATTTCAGACACTCGGACTTCTAAGTCCTTTCCCCAATTTGTCCATCACGTACTAGACACGCTTTGAAAGACTCTGGGACAGTAATAAACACGCAGCAAAAATCACGTCCAATTATGGCCTCTAGATGGTACTTTCCTAGAGCCCTGATAACGTACTACTTTCAGGCTGTTATTACTCCGTCTCGTGCAAACAAATATTAACCGAGTCTAGAAAATTACACCAATAAGGGGCGACGCGCCGCATTGGTATGAACTCAGTTTAGTAATATTTTGCACGAGTACTATTTATTACTAGGAATTACAACGACGCTTACTTTATCTCCGTTTATGTTCGAATTAGACATGAGTGTAAAATTTTAATTTATAGACAAAATATTAGTAAACGTTCAATTAAAACAAAAATTAGATATATTAATGATAGCACGAGTATTAAACACTTGTGATACAGGCAGACATATTTAGATGACAACCAGACATGTCATACATAGAGTGATTTTTCAAAAGGTTTGATTAATAAAGCGTGATGACCCTGCAAACAACGTATACCTGCGAACTAGTCATGCCTGTACCCACGAGGCATTATTTTTACACAGTCGAATATCTTATCTCTGCAACTGAAATATTTAATTTCGTTTATTTGGTGAAAAACTAAAATTATAGTTCAAACTATGATTATGCAGATTGTGCATTACTGCGGCTACTTCGCGCGGGGTATGACTTCAGTATCTTATATAAAAACTTGCAACTTATCTTTGGATATATGTCGCGTTGCTTTGTGAGAAGACATGTTTCTTACTCTACTGGACCAATCAGAATTAAGTTACCTCAACCCTGAAGGTGATTTGCGGCAGACATCTAAGAAGAATGACAATTCAAATCATCCAAATCGACGAAGTGGGTCTGAATTAATGATTTGGAGTTCAACAGAAAAGTAACAAATTTCTGTCTGTTCATGTTACAAACGATCGTTAGGAAAAGAGTTACCAAAGATTTTCTTGTAACGGCAACAGCTGAATTATATTTACTTTCACATTACTCTAGAAAACATACAAAATGAATTATGTAGTTCAATATTTTCTAATAAACTTTAAATCTATGTAGGTACAACGCCCGCTTTTTGAAACTCAATACTAATTTTACACATTCCATACTATGGTTTAGTTAGGTTTACTCCAATTTGTTTGTAGTGTTACAAAAATATCTTCAATATCTTTGGTAACTAGCTTTTAAGAAAATTCCTTGTAAAACACAGAAACATTCAGTGTGTACATAGAACAAATGTATAACATTCGATAAAATAAATTCAGTTTCCAGACATGAAAAGTGTTACGTTATCGGCCGACACTTTTTGTGCTCCTTCGGGTGGCTGAAACATAAACTTGTAGCTAACTGCACGTCATTGGTCCGAATCGTTGTAATATCTCGTCGCCCTAGCCGCCAACTCTCGCATTTCTATCTCGTAAAATGTTCAGTTATGTATCGCACACTGATCCTTGTCGAGGTTTATTTTTAATATTCTGTATACCCACGGTTACAGGGAGAGATTTCTCGAGGTCGATGTATAAGAATTTGATTGGTCGGGAACCACCTGTATCAAATATCGGATTCTACGCATTTTTTTTTTAATTTCTGCTGTTAAGGCTTATTATATTCAGTTTAGGAGCAAACCGAAATTTACTATGGGAGAGTTTGGAGTAAGCATCACTTCCGCCGGTAGGTGCGCAGTGTTCAGTAGATTTTAATTAAAACTTTAACGTACGTGAATTATAAAAGAGAAAGATTTTATTTGGTTACGAAGTTATTTTATATTTCACCTATGATTATTACAATTATCCTGTTCTTTACGTTGAAAATAGAGAAAATTTGGTATCTTGCCGACGCTAGCGCTTACCTAGTGGAGAAAAGTTTTCCTTTGCCAAACTTTTAACATTGATGTTTCCAACCTGTATAGGCTGTTCACGGTAAAGTGAGCACTTTTAACGCCATAGTTAATTTTTTCCTATCAGCGATTTTTAATCCTTTAACCACGTTTTCAAATAAATTTTGCCATGTAAGTAGTAAACACAGTGTGTATATTCCACTGCACTCGTAAGTTACCGTCTAAGGCTAAAGAGTTGGCTTTCAAAACAGCTCACTTGACCGTGGACAGCCTATAGTATAAGTAATGTAGTAATATCAGTGTAGCGGAAGTGAGTATCGCGTTCAGCAGCAGAGGTAAGTTCTGCCACATGCAGACCTCAACCCGGCCTGGCTTGCCTACACCTGCCTCTGAGCGCCAACACTAACTTTGTATTTGGGAATAATTACCGGCGGATGCAGGGGTTGGCAGCGCCGACTCCAAGGGGTGTGCCAGGCAGGTGCTCCCGAGACCGGCGATTCAATTATCTCGGTCGGAAGACGTCGCTGGCTGAGGGAGGCGAGGAAAAGAAATGTTTTATTGGCAGGGGCCATAATGGTCGGGCCCCCTCGTCTGTAATTGTGGTCGCGTGCCTCTTTCTGTAACTGGAACTGTCTGCTCGTCTTGTAGCCCACGCGACTGTTTATCTCTCTCTCTCTCACTCTCTCTCTCTCTCGGACGCATGCGTACGTCGACTCCGGGAGCACCCAGCGGTAACCCTCATGGAGGTAGTGGTAAAGCTAAGCTCACCACAATCCGCCGTCCGCCAATCTTTCCGTACGGCAATATTTCAGTGTGACAACTTAACACAGCGATATTTCTTTAGTTGGAGGTATATTTTGTTTGGAAAAAAATATTCGAGAGAGAAACATTTTGAGGAGAAAATTTCTTT